GACACTCAGGCGCCCTAGGGCCCACTGGTGGCCTCTCTGCTCCACACCTCAAGTGCCCGACCTCCGCCCTCTCTAATGACTTGTTTACATGCCTGCTCTTCCTGCTCACTTCCGTGTCCCGGAAAGAGGTGTGTTGGGGGCGCCTCTTTTAGGCAGGGATGTAATCCCTTCCGCAGGGACCTTGCCCTTCCAATCTGTTTGTTTCCCTGCTGGACTTGCCTTCCCCCAGGTCTTCACCTGCCTGCACCCCGACTCCTCTCTCTGCAGAGAGGAGCCTTCCCTAGCAGCCCCCCAACAATGAGCTTCCCCCCTGTGACACTCTAGTCCTTTCTCCTGCTTTATTTTCTTCTTGCACTTGTTGCGACATGTGGTTAGGTTTCTGTGTGTCTGGTGCATTTGCATGTGAGTGTATATATGTTGTTTGTTAGTTTCCTTTCTAATGATTCATCTCCCCACTTCGCATAAGTTACCTGGAAGCAGGGACCTTGTCTGGCTCTCCAGTCACTGTCTCTCTGGGGCCTAGAACAGTGCCTGGCACAAGGAAGTGGGCAATAAACCTTTGTTGAAAGAAAGAGAGGAATTGAGGAAGGAAGGGGGGAGGAAGAAAGGGAGGGAGAGAAGAGAAACTGACCACCCTCCCCAGCTGCCCTGGGAATTTGGGAAAGGCCACTCCCTCATTGCCTCCCAGCTTGGGGGCCCAGCACTGTCCTGCCACCCCCTGCATCAGGCCGTCCCCCACTGCTCATCCCTCTCACACCCCGTCCCCTTGGGTCTGGCGGAAGTACAAGTCGGCCCGACTGTTCCTATTCTTGTTACTTCTCCAGCCGTCCTGCGGTGTTATTTTGGCTCATGGGCAGGCAGGTAGGTCATGCCAGTCTGTCTTGTTTTCTCAGGCCGGACCAGCCTCAGGGTCGGCTGGGGACACACAACCTTTCATTTCCCTCAGCCCAATCCTTTGGGAGGTCGCAGGCAACTCACTATCTCCATTGGTGGCTCAGGAAGCTTTGTGTCCAATCCCCTGCCTCGCTGCCTGTCCGCCTCTCCTGCCACGGTCGCTGCTGCTCTGCGCACCCTCTGGCTGCACCTGCTGGGGCTCCTGTGTTCTGGCCCCTCTGCTCCTCCGGAAGCTGGAAGATAGGTTTTTTCCCTGAGTGATTATGGTTTCATTTTAAGCTCACTAAAGTAGCCATGCACGTTCCCATTCAGACTAGTTTTCTCTTCAAGGAAGGCGGAGCAAGTTCCTCAGCCCTCTGTATGCAGGTCAGGGTATGTGTCTTTCAGTTACTTGCCAAGGCAAGGCCACGCCCCCCCCCTCCCCCAGCTGGGGTGGCATGCTGGGGCAGGCAGTGGCCCCAGGCACGAGGCGACCCAGGGTGCACTCATTAGGCCTCGTCTGCCTCCTTCCAGCACAGCAAGCTCTTGCTCTTTTGGCTGTTTCTCTGGCCGGGAACACTGCGGCCCACTCCCTGCTGTCCCTTTGTCAGGTTAACCCCTGTGATCCGGTCGCTCTGTGATTCCATGCCACACGCCCTGGAAGCCTCCCCTGACCCTTGCATCCGTTCCCACCTGCTGGCACCTCATTCCTGGGAGAACGAGGCCGCGCCTGTCACATTCAGGGTTGCATCCCCAGCAATGCCCAGCGCTGGGCACCTGGAAGGGACTCGATAAAACTGTTGTAATTACATTACCCACAATTAGAGAGGAGAGAATCTTAAAAGCAAAAGAAGACAGTTACCTACAAAGGAGTTCCCATCAGACTGTCAGCTGATTTCCCAAAAGAGACCTTGCAGGCAAGAAGGGGCTGGAAAGAGGTATTCCAAGTCATGAAATCCAAAGACCTACATCCAGGATTGCTCTATCCAGCAAAGCTTTCATTTAGAGTGGAAGGGCAGATAAAGTGCTTCTCAGATAAGGTCAAGTTCAAGGAGTTCATCATTACCAAGCCCTTATATGAAATGCTAAAGGGGCTTATCTAAGAAGAAGATAAAATATATGAACAGTAAAATGACAGCAAGCTCACAGTTATTAACAACCAAACCTAAAACAAAAACAAAAACAAACTAAGCAAACAGCTAGAACAGGAACAGAATCACAGAAATGGAGATCACATGGAGGGTTACCAGCAGGGGAGTGAGAGAGGGAGAGAGGGGGAAAAGGTACAGAGAACCAGTAGCAGAAATGGTAGGTATAAAATAGACAGGGGGAGGGCAAGAATAGTATAGGAAATGTAGAAGCCACAGAACTTATATGTATGACCCATGGACATGAACTAAAGTGGGGGAATGTGTGTGGGGAGGGTGTGCAGGGCAGAGAGGAATAAAGGAGGGAAACAGGACAACTGTAATAGCATAATCAATAAACTATATTAAAAAAGAATGAATGGGTTTTGTGAGTTTGCATCTCACACGTCCTTAGGACTGGGGCCTCCATCGCTTATGCCTTCGGTGTTCTTTGCAGCCCGAGGTTGAGGCCTCCGCCTGAAGCGTGTGCCGCATGGGAGATAACTGGGTGCTCCAGCCTGCTGCGGGCCGGGAAGCCGCCCCGGGAGGGCCGCAGCGGCCAGGCGGCCCCTCCAGTCCTCCCCACAAGGGAACAAGGGTAGGAGTGCCAGAAAAAACACAGGACACCCAGTTAGACTTAAATTTCAGATTAACCACAAATACATTTTTAGTATATTACATGCAACATGTGGGACATACTTATGCCAAAAAACATATTACATTCGAATTTAATTGGGTCTCCGGGATTTTTCCTTCTTTCTGAATCTGGTGACCTTAGCAAGGGTAGACATGATGAGCCAGGTGCTGGGGGATCTGAGGATCCGTGTACCTGGTACATTCTGTTCACTGTCCTGTTTCTTATTGCTCTTTACATGCCTTTGTCCAAAAAACAGGGTGAGTGCAAGGCAAGGTGTCCCAAAACTGTCACTAGTGCTCTTAACCTGGGGTATCTCCCTGCATTTCAACCCCGTCCCCTGCTGCTGGACAGAACGGTCAGGGAGGGCCCCTGTGACTAGGGCATCTTCTGAACTGAGACTGAGCCAAATGATTGATGGTGTTCCAGAGGAGAGGTGGGAATGAACTTGGTGAGTCTGCAAACCATAAGGGCTGGTTCGAGGGGAGGAGTTTGCATGGAAAACATCCAGGACCACATCCTCAGTTTCCAAGAAGGGGCCTGGGGCCGCTCTCCTTGCCCGCCCCCAGCCCAGCTGTAGGGTGGCTCCCACGGCAGGAGTCTCAGCTTCAGGGAGCGGGCAGGAAGGGAGAGTGAGTGTTTGCCATCCCAGGTTGGGGATTCTGGTAACAGAGGGCAAGGCCATGGATACTGGTACTTGACTGCAGTTTGGTGGCATCACCTGCTCTTTGAAATGGTTGGGTGGCACCGTCAGTCCTTAGAGCTAGGCCCCCTTGCAGCTGGTCCCCATGGAGGCAGCTTGTGTTACTCAGAGAGCCACCTCTATCCTCTCTCCCTTTAGGCAGACCCCTGAGAGCACTCCTAAGGGGGCCTGCGTGCCATGGTTGGGCCGGTGCTAGTGAAAGGGTGTGTGGGGGAGGGGAAAGGACCTAGAGGGCCCAGCCCACCGCAGCAGGAGTCTCTGCCCGGGCTCTGGAAGGGGCCGACAGCACTCCCCTGGAGCTCCGGGCTAGCCTCCTCACCTCGGTGCGTGTGCTCTGCCCACCGCAGGAATGGCTCAGTTCCACACTCAACCCACAAGGTGTTTGCTGCCTGCCGCTTGCCTGTCGGTACCCTGAGGAAGCTGTTTCTTAATTTAAAATGTCCATGAACTCCCTCCAGCTGGAAGGCTACTCGAACAAAGTTTATGTTCATGAAGGGTCTAAGCTCAGTCAGTCTGGGGGATGGGTCCAGCGGTGTTTGTGCAGTGGGCGTCCTTGGGTGACTTGCCTTGTGCTTGAAATTGTTCTCTCTGCAAGGGGTGTGACTCCCCAAGGCCCCCTTGGGCCACTGCCCGTGGGAGGCCCACGTGCTGGGGACAGGTGGGGGAGGGCTGTTCCTCTGCTGAGGCCCCCTTATCTGACCAGGGGAGGAAACCCCATTTCTCTCCCACCCTCAGGCCCTTGGTGAGACTTGCCAGGCTTTCAACAGGAAAAGAACCTTTTGTTCTGAACTTGTGGGAAGTCTGAGCTGGACTTGTTATCTACTCACACCACTTCCTGGAAAAAGAACCTGGAGGGGCTGTAGTAGGGGCTGGTTCCTAACTTTGGCCTTGGCACCCACCCCCTCCTTAGTGGCTGGGGCAGGGGAAGTTGCCCGGGGCAGTGTAGGCCTTTGTGAGAGGTTGGCAAGGACTGATTTTGTATCCTTAGTTTGGTTTGCCTGTGGGGTTGGGTAGTCCGTCTCAGGCAAAGGCTTGGGTAAAGGGGCAAAACATCACTCTGTGTGTGTGTGTGTGTGTGTGTGTGTGTGTAAAACTGGGGAAGGGGGTGTCCAGTTTTCCTGTACACTGACATCTCCCTCTGGGCTGCAACGTGGACCAAGGACTGGGCAGTGTCTGACACCTAGTGGCCACCTGGGCCCAGGGCGGGGTGGCTGTGGAGCCCGAGGTGAGAGGGTAGGAAGGGAGGGAATCTGGAAGCGCGGAGACCCTGCCGGCCAAGCCAGCTGCGCTACCGGCTGGTGCTCCTTCCCTCTGCGACTGGGCCAGGGCCCTGCGTCGTCCATCTCCCAGACTCGCCCGCAGCCTCTGAGTTGGGCCTGGGCTGCAAAGGGCTCGGTCCACACCCGGGGGTTGCAGGCTCCCCAATGTGGCCCCTTAACATGGGAGACCTCGAAAGCCAGGTCTCGAGGTCCGGGTTTGGAAGGTTACCGGCGGTCGGGCCCAGAAGGCCGGGTCCAGGTGGCTGCCTTTTCGCCTCGTAGAGCGCTGCGCCGCGGCCCGTGCCACGCGGGCCTCCAGGCCTGGGCCGGGGTCTGACGGGGCCCTGCTCCGAGATCGGGGAGGGGGGGCAATTGGGGGGCCAGGCCCTGCCGCGAGTGAGGGGACGCGTTGGAGCACGTCCGGCCCCGGGCAAGACCCTGCCTGACCTTCATGGTGTCGTCGGCTTCCCGGCCAAGCAACCACCACTGCCCGGTCGCCATGACGACGCCTTGACTCCGTGGGCGGCGCGACTCGCAGAACCAGCTGAGCAGCCCGGGCGCGGCGTACGGGCGCCGGTGGGCGGTGCGGCGGGAACGAGCTCGGGGCCCGGCGCCTGGCCAGGTAGGCGGTCCAGGCCGGTGGGGGCGCGGAGTCCGGGCGAGGCGTGTAGGGGGCCCAGGTGTGCGTGCGGAGGGGCCTGCACGTGGGGGGACCGCACGCGCTGGAACAGGCCCGGCTCCGGGGGCCGCAGCGAGTCTTTCTCCGCCTTCACCTGACGCCGCACCTGTCTTTCCTGTCACCTGTTTCTCCTGGCTCGGGGGCCACTGGGCAAGGCCTGAGGTTACAGAACGTGTCCTGTTCCTGAGCCTTCGGCCCCGGGGCTACCTCTGTGGCGAGTCTCTGCGGAAGTTAGAATGGAGGGGCAGGAGACCCTAAGTTTATCCGTGGGCCTATGGCTAATATTTTGCCATGTTCTACGGCCAGGGTAGAAGACTGAGAGAAGTGTATCAGCCAGTTTGCCACGACTGGTCATTTGAAACCTGAAACCGAGACTGTCGACCGCCCTCCGCCCGGTAGCAGGGCTGACGTGGCTAGACCCCTTCCTCGCTTTCCTCCAACATCCTCAGCTTCTTGGTGTGAGAACAGGCGTTGCTCATTTGGGAAATCCTGCCTCCTTGGGTTGGCTTTGGTGGGCCCGGAACTGTGGGTACAGGGGGTGCAGAACTGCGCCGAGGGATCTGCTGCTGCCTTTGACCCCTGGGGGGCGCAGGGCCACCTCCCCTCCCCGCGCGCCCCCTACCCCAGGACACCAGAGAGACCCGTGTGGACCCCGGAGTCCCGACAGGTCCTCCGAGGCTGGCGCCCCGCCCAGGTCCCTCCGCGCACTGACTGCCCCTCACCGCGTTCATTCTACCTCCGCGGTCTTGGAGGATTTCCTAAGACTCAGTATTCAGCCTGTCTCGATTCTGTTCCTGTATTTTCAGAGCAAATTAAAACAAACAGACAAACAGAAAGCTTTGCCAACTGCTTGTAGATACCTTGATTTCTCGTGTGAAATCGGCTTGGGGCAGAAAATACGCGGCCACTTGTAATCGTTATGGTGAGCCCCGCACAGAGACAGGGCGTTACAGCCGCGCCCCCGCGTGGGAGGGGCCTCCTGAACCCGGCGGAGCCAGCCTCCTGGTCTCACTGCTTCCCTGCCCTGCCACCTCTCCTTGGCCCGCAGAGCTCGGAGGGGTTCGCAGCAGCAGAAGGCGTTGGTGGAGGAGTCTCCCCAGACCCAGGGGCTTCTGCTCCGTGGACAGCTGATGATGGACAGAGGGGACTGTGGAATTATCAGAGGGGGTCTTGCTGTCCACTGCCACCTCGCTCTCTGTAGTTCCAAACCTCATGTGTTTGGAACTACAGACACATGGGCTTTTGATGTGCGACTCTTCCTGTTAAGACCAGATTCGGTTTTTGTTGGATTGCTGTTGATTGAATGCCTACTGTGAGTCAGACACCGTGCTAGGCATGGGTACTTACTTATGCCACTGAGTCTTTGCTTCAGGCCAGTGAAGTGGATGATTCTCAGCATCCTCCTGCCTTACAGATGAGGAAGCAGACGCAGGGAGACTTGGTTTGCCTGGGAGCACACGCTCACAGAGCTCGCATCCCTCCGACCAGGGCTGCTGGCGACTTGCGTGATGCTTTTGCCCGGCGTAAAGAATTCCTCCACACAAATCGTATTTTGCAACCGCGTTGGTCTAAACTCAAATATAGTCCAGGCTGGGTTCAAAATAACCATTTTCTTCAACCGCCAGATTTATTTATTTTTAAAAAGGTTGAATTTATTCATCTTTAGAGGGGAAGGGAAGGAGAGATGGAGAGAAATATCAGTGTATGGCTGCCTCTCATGCATCCCCAGCTGGAAACTGGCCTACGACCCAGGCATGTGCCCTGACTGGGAATTGAACCTCGATCCTTTGGTTCATAGGCCCACGCTCAATCCACTGAACTACACCAGCCAGGGCCCAGATTTATTTATTTTTTTTTCACCCAATTTTAACAGAAAAAAGGCCTTGTGGGAGGTAGGAGTCCCCAGGAGTAATGGGAGCCCTGGCACTGAGTCCCCAGCACCCAGGTGGAGGAGCGGGGTCAGTGTCTGGCTTTCACCTCTGCCTCTTCAGGGGGGCTACTTGGATGTGGGGTGATAAGAAAGTGCCCCATCTAGCAGCCCAGTCCTCATTTGGCCTATCATATTCTAGGACAATTAAGATTTTCCCCCCTCCCTTATCAAGAAAACATCTAGCCCCGTCCCCAACACAGTCTATTCTAATTCAGTTAAATCCCTGCTGCTGATAAGGAGGGCTGTGGCCAGGCCCCCTGCCTCGGGGCTGCAGGACCAGGCAGTGTCTGGTCCCCACAATGAGATTAGGCCCGGTGATCTTTAATGAAGCAGTGGGCCTGGGAGGGAGAGTGGCGCTCAGCACGTTCCAGCCCCGAGGCGCCGCCTGTCCCTGTCCATTCCATTAAGTGGAGCCTGACTCCGGTGGCTGTGGGAGGGGAGGACAGACTGTCCCAGGAGCTGCCAGAGATCTGTCACCCACTTCCGGTGCTTTGACAGAGGAAGGACAATGGCCATGTAAGGGGCCGCATGAGCCCCCTCTTGTTTGAAGGCTGGTCTCCTGGGCAAAGGAAACCTTGGGGATGGAGAGTGGCTGCTTTCAGGCCCTTGAAAATGCCCACATTTTCTCTCTGGGAACAGGATGCCCAAGAACAGCCAGAGTTGGGGCGGGGGGCAACCCAGTTAGGAAGGAAGGAGAGGGCGTTCTTGCTGCCCAGACTGGGAAATGAAGGAGCATGACCCAAAGACACTTGCTTGCTAGGGAGTGACTCTCAGATTGCAAGGTTTCAAATGCAGACGTGGTTGTGGGTAGGTCAGTTCCATCCAGTCCCACTGAAATGTCTTCTCCGAGTCACTCAGTGTTGAAAACGGCCCCTCCTTGCACAAAGATGGGTTGTTAATTTTGTTAACCGAACAAGCAATGGGGAAACGCCATTGCTGAGGGAGTCTTGCCGTTCAGCCTCTCTAAAACACAGAATCACTCACTACTTTGTCTTTTTTATAAATCTGGATTTTCACGCCTGGATCTCAATGACTGTGAGGTCGCCCATCGGTGGGAAGGCTCAGCCAGAAGTGGGCTGGTCTCGCTCGGCGTGAGTTTCCCTGTCACCCCTCACACTTGGGCTTAAAATCACCCTCAGATTGGAAGGTGGGCAGCAGAGACAGCTTGGGCCTCCGTAATTCCAAAGGTCGTCCTTTATCTCTCGCTTCCTCCTGGATGTCTAGTTACCTGCAGCCCCAATGGACCGGGGGCTGCTATTGGAGCAACCGACGTGAAGGTCCGGCAGCTGGCTCGCCCTCCGTCACCCCTTCTCTCTTAACCATCCGTTCCCACCCTGCCGTGTTTTTCTCCCAGGGGAGTCCCAGGGGACACCAGTGCTCCCGTGATGTGGGTTTAAACGGGCTTAGCAGCACGGCGGCCCCCGGGGGGGGGGCGGACCCAGGAGGACTGGCATGGGCGGGGTGAGACTGCCTGGGGGCCCTGCTTGGCAGGCGCCCATTCCGATCCGGGACTTTGAGTGTTTTGGGAAACACGGCAGCTCTGCCTGCCTGACTGGGCGCTGGAACGAGCGAGGTCGCAACAGCGACAGCCAATCCGCAGGCCCTGGAGAGCGCGGGCCACCTGAGGGCGTTACAGTAGGGAGGACCTCCTCCTGTGTGCAGCGCAAAGTGCTCTCAGAGGCCTGTGCTAACTCGTGGCCTGAATTCTTACTGCCCTTCGCTTTAAAATCTGTCTCCGCTCTGCACCGTGTGTGCGAGCCCCTTGAAGGCGGGCCTCCCCTGTGCTGCTCAGGCAGCGTGTCTGGCACCGGGAGGTGCTCAGGGGACAACTGAGTGGAGCGGCTGTTTGCTGCTGATAATTTTGGGCATGTCATTTACCCTCTTTGAGCCCCAATTCCATCCATCCCGTTGGGAGAATACTGTTATCATAGTGTTATTGCAAAGATGAAACGGGAGAATCGGGTGGTGCTGAGGACAAAGCTGGGGTTCCCTAGTCACGAAGTCCCCTGTCCTCTCTGCAAACACCGGCACGCGCCTCCACCCCTCTCCGATTCCTGCCTGTCTCGCTGGGAAATGGTTGGTTGGAAAGTGTCGGCTTTGGCTGGCTCCCCACCGAGCGGTCCTAAGGTCCAGGGTGACGTCCGGTGCCACCCTGAGCTCCCACTCTGTCCTTGATATCCACCCCACTGGGCAGAGCGAAGCGGCTGGCCCACGAGGCAGAGCAGGCCCCTTCTGTCCTTCCTAACTCAGAGCTAATCAGATTCTGCATGCCCTGGGCTCTCTGGGGTGAATCTAATAAAGGAGAGAACAGCATTTCTCCTCAGGACATTTTCCTTGTTGGAGTCAGGCAAGGCACAAGGTCCCCAAGGGCGCTCAAGGAAGAGTGGGACAGGCTCCCTGCCTTCAAGGGCTAGTAGGTGCTTCCGCAGAGAGGCTCACAGGGGCTCAGGAAGGTGGGACTCCAACAAGGGTAAGCAAGCTCCAGGCCGGCCTTGGGGACGCAGAGGAGGTGGGTAAAGTGAGGAACAATGCCATTTCAGGTCGTGGGGAGGGTGGGCCGGCGAGTGGAGGAGGGGGCTGTCACACGGAGCCGGAGTGCGAGCTGTGGAGAACAACACAGGCTGCTGTGTTACAGCCGAACGGCACGGCGACAGCCTCCCCCGGATGGTGGGGGACAGCAGACAGAGACCGAGTGAGGATCATGTTACGGAGCTGGCATGTCACTGGCAAGGAGGGAGCAAGATGTTCTTGTGGCAGGTTCACAGCCCTGTCCCTGTCCCTGATGCTGGCGGGTCAGACAGACTGAAGGGGGTGGAAAGGTGGGGCAGAAGCTCTGTGCCCTGGCTTGGCTGGGGACAGTGAAGATGGCCAGGAGGGACTGATGGTGAGATGCTTGGGGGAGAACCCCCAGGATCCAGTGGCCTGTCGGCAGAGGTGGCAGGGCTGGGACCTGGAGAGGGACAACCGCACTGGGCACCTGGGGGGCCAGGGGAGGAGTGTGACTTTGCAGGGGCTGAGTCGGGAGCATTCGAGGGTGTCCAGGTATCGATGTTAGTGGACGGTGAGAAATGGGGCTTGCGTTTGGGACAGAGGACAAAACTGGCACTGGATTGTGTGGAAGTGACAGATGTCAGGACAGAGGCAAGAGCTCCAGATGGGGCTTTGTTGTCAGCAGGGGCTTCTGGAACGCCTGCCCTGGGGGCATTTCTGGAAGGTGACCTGACAGACGGTACCAAAAACCTGAAAAGGAACCCAGTCCTTCCCTCGGATTCCACTTCTCCATTTAGGAATTAGTTAGGCAAGTGTGCAAAGATGGTCACTTCGTGTCTATTTAGTGAAAAACTGAAGGCCAGCTAAATGTTTAATAAGTTGAAAGATATACATGATCTCTAAGTTAAAAAAGCAGGTCAGAAATCGGTGCGATCCTGTTTAAAGAACGTATGTGCATTTCTAGAAGAAAGGATGTAAGGATATAAATCAAAGTGCTGATTTGTTACGTATTTTTGCTGACCTGTGTTATACTGTAGGGAGTCTGTATTACTAATACCACACCCCCCTCTTTAAATCGTGGAGTTGCCCACAGTTGTCAGACACAGCAGAGAGAACCGGGGTGAAGACAGCCGAGCACCAGGGGGATGAGGCTGGGCCGCCTGGACACTGGTTCCCAAACAGGAAGGGTAGAGAGTGTGTGCTCGGGATTAGAGGGGTGACCCCCCAAAGTTTGTCAGTCAACTGTCTCTGCTCAGCTGTCATCCGTCCTCTGCTGAGAGGGAAGGAGACGCAGGATGTTCTCACAGCTGCCGGGCGACTCCTGGCCCCAGGGCAGGAGAGCGGACGAGTCAGGGTGAGGACCTGGCACGGAGGCCAGTGCGGTCCCTGGTGAGACTGTGGAGACACTGGGGACAGGGTTGAGGACCCTGAAACACACCCCTCCGTGCAGCCCCCAGAGCAAGGCTCTCCGAGCCACGCCACGCGAGCCAACCTTTCCTGGTGCGGCAGGGGAATGGCGGTCTGCTCGTTCCGGCACCGGAGGGTGGAGCTACGTGGTGTGCATGGAATGCCCCATGAGCTCTGGGCGGCGCGGGCTCCCTTTGTAGGCCTCGTTTCCGGGGCCTTCAGTTTTGGAAACTTCACCTGAGGACAGAGGGCAGGTCCAATCTGCCCTGGGTGAGAGGGAGAAGAGGGGGCAGGAAGGGGAAAAGGCTGCTGACTGCTCTGTCCCCCAGGTCCCGCCAGGCACGGGGTCCAAGCACATTCGTCCCCTGTAGTGCTGGAGGCCTGCTCCGGGTCTGGGCCTGGGCTGAGTGCCGGGCAGGACTCCTCTGCTCCAGTTTCGAGGTCAAAAACTGGGCCTGGGGGAGGCAGGCTTCCCCGTGTCTCACACCAGATGTACTTTATGATCCACCCGGAAGGAAAAAATGTGACTGACCCTGTACCTTTAAGGAATTTGTTCATTTCTTTGTATTTCATCTATGAACCTCACCTGAGAAAGCCCAGTACATCAGGAAACAGAGTGAAGCGCAGGCATTGGACCCTCCTGTCTCCCCAGAATTTGGAGGACCTTTACTTGCACCTTCTTTGCATGTGGAACTTGGGCCATTGCAGAGCAGGACAGCTGGGCCCTCCCACTAAGCTGCTCTGGGACTCGAAAGTGGAGGATGGGTGTGGATGGGCCTAGGAGGGAGGCTGGTGAACTTGCATTATTAGCATTATGGTATCAGCACAGGGTAGGGGAGAGGGTTGTGGTAGGGGTGAGGGGACAGGGCCCATCAGTCACTTGGAGGCTGTGGGCAGCCCCTCTGAGCTCTGCTCTCTTTCCTGCAGCTGCCACCTCAGCATGGAAAGCCCTGCCAGCCCCAGCACTGGAGCGCTGCCCTACTATGTGGCTTTCTCCCAGCTGCTGGGCCTGACTGTGGTGGCTGTGACTGGCGCTTGGCTCGGCCTGTACCGGGGCGGCATTGCCTGGGAGAGCGCCCTGCAGTTCAATGTGCACCCCCTGTGCATGGTCATAGGCCTGGTCTTCCTGCAAGGAGACGGTGAGTCCTGCCTGGCTGCCCCCCTCACCCTGGAGGTCTCTCCCTGTTAGACAAATCTAAGATTCTAGAAAAGGCAGAGTAGGAAGCTGGCTTGGAGCTTGGGGACACTGGGAGTCCAAACAGGGCCCTGACATTGGTGATGGCTCCTCCGTTCCACCTGGTAGCAGCCCCTTCACCTCTTGCTTTGATAAGGAGTGTGGGTGCCTCACAGGGAGGAGGCCGGGCTGGGTGGGGGCTGAGCCATTTGAAATGGTGGGGGGGGTGAGGAATGTCGGACTCGGCAGCCCTCTCTCCCGGGGAGGAGCAAGGTGGAGCCGGCCCCCAGCCCGCTTACTATGAAAGTAGTGACTATCTGGTCGCCTTCCGTATTAGACTATTCGAGGACCATCATAGCTGTAAGGGGAGCCCAGAAGCTTGGGGACACCTGGGTGTGACTGCATGATGAAACTAAAACACAGCCTAGAATACACGGGACACCTGAGGCGGATGGACGGGGCACACAGGGCCAAGCCCGAGGGCCCCTGCTGGGGCTGTGGAGGCTTGGTCTCTCCACTTCCTGGGGCTGGGGTACCCAGAGGAGCTCTCGGCTCAGACCGCCCCTCAGCCCAGGCGGCTGCTGGCTGCAGAGGCAGGTCGCCTGGGGGGCAGGGGAACACACGGGCATTCCCTTGCTCCCCCCCTCCCGCCCCCACAGCCCTGCTGGTTTACCGCGTCTTCAGGAAGGAGGCCAAACGCACCACCAAAGTCCTGCACGGGCTGCTGCACGTCTTCGCACTTATCACCGCCCTGGTGGGTGAGTTCCTGGGTGAAGCCTCCCCACCCTACCTCCCCGTCCCCCCACTCCAGGAGTCCCAGGCTGGGACACTGGCTGCTGGAAAGAGCCCAGAAGGCCCGGTTAGTTAGTCGGGTTTCTCTTGGGTCACCCACCCACTCCCTTCCCCCATCAGCCTGTCCTCACATGTCCCCATCTCTGGTCCAGGCCTGGTGGCGGTGTTCGACTACCACAGGAAAAAGGGCTACGCGGACCTCTACAGCTTGCACAGCTGGTGTGGCATCCTCGTCTTCATTCTCTACTTTGCCCAGGTGAGTCCTTCCAGACCCACAGCCATAGGGGTTGGGGGGAGGCAGGGGCTGAACCTGTGCACCCGCCAGAGGGCCCGTTTTCCGGCGGGTGCACCCACAGGTGAAGGGGGTGCTTTAGTACAGTCGGGTGCTGCTTTCAGATTTTGAAATAAGTATAAAGCCAGGACTTTACAGGCGATGGGGCCTCAGATCCCGGCATCCTTCCAGCTGACACCACATAATGGGCCGCAGGCCTCCGCCAGGACAGTTTCCACAAGTGCTTAGTGCCCCCCCCCCCCCCCCTGCACCGCTCTTAAAGGGAGGAAACCCGTGGGTGGGTGGAGGGGTTTGCAGCCTGTCCAGGTGTCCTCGGGTGGGTCAGTCTGACCCAGTCCCCGCCTCGCTTTTCCTTCCAGTGGCTGGTGGGCTTTAGCTTCTTCCTGTTCCCGGGAGTCTCGTTCTCCCTGCGGAGCCGATACCGCCCCCAGCACATCTTCTTCGGCGCCTTCATCTTCGTCCTCTGTGTGGGCACAGCCCTGCTGGGCCTGAAGGAGGCGCTGCTGTTTAAACTCGGGTGAGTGTCCTGCGCCCCTGGGCCTCTGCCTCCGGAGCCAGACCTCTGTGGAGTCAGCCACACAGTGGCTTTCTCTCGGGAGGGGGCAGAGGGGCTGGAGTTGCACTGAGGCATTTTTCTGGCTCTGGGGCAAATGGCAAGTGGCCTCGTGGTGACCCTGTGGGTGGCTTCTCCCGCCCACCCTGACCTCCAGGGCCAAGTACAGCACGTTCGAGCCCGAGGGCGTCCTGGCCAACGTGCTGGGCCTGCTGCTGGTCGGCTTTGGCGTGGTCGTGCTCTACATCTTGACTCGCGCCGACTGGAAGCGCCCCCGCCAGGCCGAAGAACAGGCGCTCTCCATGGACTTCAAGACACTGACGGAGAGTGACAGCCCCAGCTCCCAGTGACAGGCTGTGCTGGGTCTGCGGGGAGGGAGGGCCCACCTGTGGGGGCCTCCTTGAGCCCTGAGGCTGCGGGTGGATTCGGCTCCGAGGTGCTGGCCAGAGCGGGGCGGGGTGGGGGGTGGCGGTGCGCCGCTCTGAGCAGGGATTTCCGGGCTGTGGGGCTTGGCCACCTCTGCTTCCCCCTCCTTGCTGCTGCTTTGGTGTCCTGTTAGTCATGTGCAGACCCCTGCCTGTGTTGTCCCTGTCACTCCCTCAAATGGAGCAGCTTTGCACAGGCGTTTGGGGGGGGTCAGGCCTGGTCACAGAAACTCAGACCCTAAAGTAGATAGAGAGCACCCCCTCCCCACACTGTCGAGGCAGTGGGTGCTGGGCCAAGTCCAAGGGCTGTGGCAGAAACCTGGGGTCCCAGCAACAGGCCTGGCAAAGTCAAGACTTGCTTTGTGGGACTGAATTCAAACCAGGAGTTGCACGAGCCTGGGTGACACGTGGTCTGAATGGGCCGGGCCTCCGGCAGTGGAGCAAGTGATGTTATGTGTAAACTATGTTGGCGTTCAGAGCTGGGTCCCCCCGGCAGACGGGAGGGACTGGCCCCTGGGAAGCTCTGGAGATGTGGCTTTGGCCCAGCTGTGCTCTTGAGCCTTCCCTTCCTTTAACTCTTTGGCCCCTGGACGACTTTTCTGGGTGAGGGGATGGGGCACAGGGCCTCAGACGCACCTGCCCTCGGCAGCTGGAGAAGGAGGAGGGGCTCCCTGTGCAGGCCGGTGTGGGTGGCGGCTTACCTTGCGGCTGGGCCTGTGGTTCCCATGGTCCCCACCCTCACAAGCCAGGGCAGGCCCTGCTCTGACCAGAGGATGATGACACAAAGCTTCTTTAAAATGAAAAGCCGCTCCACTTGCCCCCTTCCACTCTTCCGATGGGGAGGGCGGGGCGGGCTGCTTTCTTCTGTTCAGGAGGACAGCCGCCCCCGCCCTCCCTGACAGGGCCCTTCTCTGCGGGACGTTGGGACTGAGTCCGAATCACACTGTTCCCCCAACCCCACACGTGTGCTCTGTTGTCAGCTGAGTCACTGCTTGGCTTCAGCTTAGAAATAACAGGGTCATGTCATTGACCTTGTGTGTCTTGGACTTGGCGAACGCTCTCTCCTTGTTTTCCTTGTTTTCTGGGCTTTGAGGAGCATGACACAGTTCAAGACACGCAGCTGAAGTAAATGAAGAAATGAGTAACATTTCCAAATCTGACCATCCTTTTTTTTTAACGATTGCCTTTTTCACAGCTCCACGCTACCTTAGAGAAAGGGTCTAGTCTCCTCTGCCGCTGGGATCTTTAATGCTCAGCGTTGGCCCTGGGGCCTGCCTCAGGCCATTGTGCTTCTCAGCAGGTGGCTGTGGTCCAGCACCCTTCTCCTCGGGGCGCCCGGCTGCCCAGCCTCTCTGGGCTCCCCTGCAGCTCGCCTGACGAGGGTGTTGGCTCGGTTAGACTGTGCGCTCGGCAGGGGTGTCATCGATTCTTTCGTCACCCAGCACACACTTGTGCAATCCAATGTTTACACATGAGAAAGCTCCACCTTACACAAACTACAAAGTACAATCGTGGGTCCCCTTTGCCAGAATGCCACATAGAGAAAGGGAAACCTCAGGTTTGCAATAAAAGTCTGTCGACCCATCTGTTTACCATAGTGGATGTTGGATGACTAAGCAGCTAAAAAGCCTCAGAAAGCTGATCTGTGGTGGTTTATTTTATTTTGCCTGTGACCAGTCTTTTCTGAAACGTAATGTAGTGTTGATGCAACAGATGATTTAATAAATGTCTGCAGCAGATGCCTCTCCTGTTACCTTCATTTCTTGTGACAATGAAAGGAGCCAGTGCTTTTAGCAGAGTCGGCTACACGGAGATGGTTCTACTAGAGAGGAACAGTGCGCCCCCGGGCTGGGCGCAGAGGTAGGTGGAAACGGCCCCTAACTGTCCAGGCTCTGGACCAGTGCGGGGGCTCTTCCACGCGGCCCGGGAGTCTTTTCTCACCATGACAGTGGCCTGGAGGGTGGAGCTGTAAGGGTGGAGATGAAGGCTGCAGCAAGAGGCTCCCTCAGGGTTCCATTAACTTATTTTCTTTTAAAAATACGTCTGTTCCTTAAGAAGAGCAGCAAAGCTTCGAGAACAAGCTGAGATTCCTCTTGAGATCACTTCCTGAGGCTCAGCAGATGTGTTTAAGGAAATGCTGGGTGGGATTTCACCAGGATGCACTGTGTGCTCCTGAAACGCCCTGCCACTTACAACAGCTCCAGGACTGAAATTAACCAGGGGCTTACTCTGCAAAGGAACCTTATGGTAGGTCCTCTGATGAGGTCAATAATCCTTTGGTGACATGAACTCTTCCTAACATTTCCTTTATTTTCATTGTGGTATTTGGTTTCTAACGTATGGACTAGAGGTCTTTGCTTCATGCATCTTTAGAGTTATCTCCTGAACCAAGACTTCTACGTGGAGCTTCATTTGCTTAAAAACACACAGAGCATGTTGCTAGATACATGTCACAGGTTGATCTCTCAGTCAAGGTCAGGGCTGCTGGTTCTCAGGGTGAAGGCAGAGGCGTCCTGGCCCCATGAGTGGTGACTGTGGTACCTCATCTCTGGCCTTTGCACTAGCCTCTGAACCTTAAAGGTCTATGTGTGTGTGAATATTCAGTCGATCCCAGACAGGACGATGCCTCTCCAGAGTGTGACTTGTTCACCTCCTCAGGCAGGACCACCCCTTCTCACTGGGTTTGGAGCCAAAGTTATTCCTCTTCACCATGGCCGGGCCATTTCTCCAAAGAGGTGTGAAGTAGCATTTCCGGGGCTTCCTTTTTGACCCACACTGCCTGTGCTCCTTCTGCTGTCTCGCGGGTCGCTTGCTTCTCTGAGGAAGCAGGCAGCAGGGCCCAGGGGGGAACCAGTCCAGGCGGGTCTTACCCAGAATCCCACCTTTACCTGTGTTGAGCAGTTTCAGCTCAGGATCTGCTTCCTCATCTGTGTTCTGGAGAGAACAGTGTTGTCTGTCAGAAGTCACGTGAGGAAAAAGCTAGAGAACACACGTGAAGTCCCTATCACAGTGTCGGGGACATAGCAGGCATAGCAAGAGAGCTCATGACAGTGGACTCTGCAAGCACGGTCTCGCCAGAGGGAGCTCCCCCACAGGCCTTCCAGACACAATACCTTTATTGGGAACGCTCCGCCCTTGTTCTGGGAAGAGAAGGACTCGGTTTCCAATTTCTCCATGCCCCTCCAGCTTCCATTTTTAAAGCTGAAAGAGGATGACGGCTTGCTGCCTGCCTCAGCCTGTGGAAGGGGCTCGGCTTACCGAGTGACCACGTGAGCGCGCATGGCGGTGCATTAAGCTACAAGGGTGCCTGTCAGGGTATGGAAATCGCTTGGCAATCTGACTCAGGACTTGGGGGTGCGACAAAGAACTTGCTGTTTGCTGTTAGCTGCTGCTCTCTGTGGTTTTTAAATCAGGTTCAGGGCAAATTCCTTTTTAAGAATTGGCTTTTAAGGAATCACTACCTTTCACCTTTCTTCCAATGTCCTGGAATCCTTAAAAAGCTCCCCCCACCAACCACTTATTCATCTTTGATTTTTAATGGGCTAACTGGAGCCGCCCAGGAACGGCTCCCAGTCTGAGCAGGTGATTCCGCCCCGACTCGTCTCCTTCATAAGCCCGGCGTGCAGGCCAGGACAACTGTGCCTGCCTGGCATTTGTCTTCTTGCTTCCCTGGCATTGGTTGTTTTGGGGGAAGCGGACGTGGTCACCCAGCAGGCATGTTTGTTCAGCACAATCTGGTGTGTAGAGGAAGTGGTCTCCTTCCTTGCTTGTCCCTGAAGTAGACAGAGAGGTAGCAGCTAGGCAGGAAAGGCTGCAGGACTCCGAGCCGGCTGCTGTTTTAAAAAGGTATTGAATCTCCAGCCAGTTTCAGGAAATCTGCAACTTCTTCATTCACAATGCAGCTGCCTAGCTCTCTATGTAGTGAGGACTGGAATTTCCGGCCAGATTTCTGAAGAAAATACAAAGCCACCAGAAGCTGGGGTTCCAGCGTTGCCCAAGTTAGCCTTGGGAACTACAGCTAGGGCTGTCTCCACCGCTGCCCACTCCCCCCACCTCTCTCCGTCCCGGAGCCACAGAGCCTCCAAACTTAATAGCTTTGACAGTCCTCTTCAGACTTGGGTTTCGGTGTGGTAGTTGGATTGGGTGCAGCCTCAGCTATTCAAACGGAACAAGAAGTCAGTGCTCCCTTGGTAAGGCTGGAGAAACTCTTCATTGAAGGAAAAGCCTCCCTTCCTCAATAAACGCAGTGAGCTTCCGCTGATAGGCCCTGGGCTGTTTTCTAGCTGAGTGACTATCACAGTGTCCAGCTCCGAGGAGGTGCTCAATTGCTTCAGGGAGTGGATAAAGCCTGAAGGGGTGACTCTGAATGTCCCACAAGAGACTGACCAAATCATCACGTATTTGGCCTTCACCTTAACCTGTCAAAGTTGTCCTCGGGGGAGCTTCCTGGGTGCTGCAGGCCTCGTGAGGGTGAGCCTGAGCCAGCTCCCTGGAGAGTGTTGTAATGGAAGGAGAAAGCACGACAACGCCTTGTTTTTCCAAGTGTTACCCATTTATAAATAAGTACATTTGCTTTCATACATACAGTTCATTGTACAGATGGCAATCTGTATACATGGGCAGGAAAATGCATTCATTTAACTTTTCACATCTATCTCACACAGCTCACATGTACAGACAATAAAACTGCTCAAGCAAGTACAGCAAAGGAAAACGTCTTTCCTTATACACAGGGGGCTAGATGCCTCTGCTGGGTGTGGGACATCCCCACAGCACGAGTTCACAACTGTGTGGTGTTCAATATATCAGGATAGAGAACAAACATGCATTGGATAATATACTGTACAGAGAAAGTCCTTTACATCTGAGTTATAGAAAACCTAAAGGAAAACTAAGTGCATTAAAGCTTTTTCCAGCAAGTGTCTTGAAAGGACAGCAAAGAGGAGGAAGAATCAAAATCATATTAGTACAAATCACTCTTTAATTGTTGACTGTACATGTCTGTACTAATTAAAATCATCTTGGATTTGGAGGAGACAGAACAGATACAAAGATGCTGTGGTACATGGGAGGGAGGCCACGCCTGAGAACGGCACCTGCCCTGAGCCTCAGAGGAACCGGCCCCTCTCAGCAGGAGTCAGCCAAAGGAACAAAACAAAACAGACAGACCAGGACAGGAAGTGTAATTTACAGATTTCCAAAATAACCTATGAATGGAGATCTGGAGCCAGCATTTCTAACTTTTTCCCCCCAGTTAGGTTGATTCGCAATAAGGCAGGTGCATTCAAGTACTGAAATTTTCAGAATTATCTGTCTGGTCTTGGGAACAGAAGGGATTGAGTCGAGTCCCCCTAACCAGATGTTCTGGTTATTAATTAGGCAAAAGAAAAATCCACCCGGCAAGTGCTAGAAAAACAAAGTAGCTAGGCTCCTTCCTTTCCACAGAGTAGGTCTGCCTACAAAAACAAAAATGATGCCGGCCTGCATCTAGGTGCATCCAGCTAAAACCTGACAGGTCAGCTCAGTGGAGGAGATATCACGAAGTTGGCAGGAAGAAATGAGATGATATGGGTGAGGAGACATGAAAGTAACACTTGATTTTTGGTGTCCAATTACGCGTTCATTTGGTACTGACTTTCAAAGCTCTGACTGTGGCCGTGCGGCCATGAGCATCTCAGGGTGGTTCGGCTGCTGTGAGGCGTGGGACACCGAAATGCAGGTTACTGACACTTCAGCCCTTGAGTGGTCTGTGTTATAAGAGGAGTTGATGAAGACCCAGTGGTTATTCAAGTAGCTCTGCACATGGCTCCACCAGCCCCGCTGTGCTTGTGTCCAGGCCCCCAGCCAGCCACCTTTTCTTGGGAGAAGCCAGAGCTGAGTTCAAGGCATTGCATGGTGAAGGTTTCCATGACACGTCTTTGTAGGTAGCTCTTACCCCTAAGCCCTTTGTTCATTGTTGTTAGTCATAGTAGATGGTCAGTCTGGAATTCCTAGAGGACAAGGAGGAAAAGCCACACCTCCCCACACCAGGGCAGCTCAGGCCTGGGTGTGGAAGCAGCAGCAGGCTGCCTTTCAGGGTAGCTTGAGAAGTGGGCAGCCCAGGGGTAGACAGGCAGGGCGGCGAGGCTGGGGCAGGGGTAGGCACATCCTGCCCCCCCAGGGGGAGCCTATTCCATTTTGTGGCAAAGATTCAGTGAGCAACTGATTTTGTCCAAGGCATTTCTGCAGTACAAAAATAACTATCTTAGAATCAAACCATCCAACTGTGACACCTCTGGAGTTAGAAAAGTTGGAGGCCACGAGGAACTGAGATGGGCGCTCATGGGGAAGAAGGTCTTCTACCCACCCACCCACCCACCCACCAAAGCAAGGGAGTTCTAGTCAACCTCTTGCCAGCCTCTGCAAGGGCTGAAGGTGCAAAGCAGGTAGTGTTCAAAGGGCTCATCTCGCCACAGCTGGCGCGGATGTGTGAGTACCTCATTCCAGACCTGTGTTCTCTGCCTCCTGAACTCTCTGCGCCTATGGGCCTGCCAGCTGCCCTGGAAGCAGCTCCTCCAGACACTGCCCTTCTTAGTTACCAGACAAGCCTGGTGCAGAGCCACAGTGACACCTAGTGGTAAAGTATGGTGAAGCAAGGTGACGTCCACAGAACCCAAAATCTACGACAAAAATCTAAGGAAAATACTTAGGGATATTAAATTAGATACTGATTACTTTTTCTATTGGGTACATCTCTGGA